CCATTGTGGTCTTTTGCATCACTTGTTTGGTTGTGTTTTGTTCTCCTTATTCATAGAATCATCAAAGTTGGGAGAGACTGTAAGATCATCAAATCTAACTGTCAATCCAACACTATCGCTGTAATCCCCTAAACCACATCACCCGGATATTAAAGAGTCATAGCCCACTAGGTTTGGTCCTATCATTTACTGATCTGTGGTATCCTAAGCATGATTCTTTCAGTGTTCCATGAGCATTCCCAGTACCAGTGATATGAAGACCTGCACAAGCTTGGTTCCCACCTTTGCCCTGTCAAGCTCTCAGCCACAACTTGCAACCACCCCAGGCAATGCCCCAGGTGTGGGGAAGAGTGGCTGGAAAAGATGAAGGTGCCACAGGAACAACTGAAAGGCCTGAAACCCTCATCTCTCAGGTCTGCTTCAATACCATTCTGTATAGACCCAAACTCATTCTCTCCAACTCTTCTCAGCTATGCTTTGTTACCTTTCCCTGTTAATAGTAATTCCTTATGCTTTTAGTAGTCTGTCTCCTCAGAATTTGTTCCATTGCTGCTCACAAGTGCAAGGACAAAACTAGTTACTTGATTTTGCCTGTGCTTCCTTGTTTGTTATTGCATGAGAAAGCCCTAATCTTTCCTAGGATATGCTTACAAATTCAACATAAGATAAAGAATTATTGCAGTTGCTTGTGATCTTGAATTAATCACCTAGACTGGAAGTCAAAGAGGTTACTTACTTCATCAGAGGAGATTACAGTCAGTCTCACTTGGGTGCATGTTAATGTTCTGAGGATCTCTGCTGAAACTTGCTGCTGTTGTTAGGTAACCTGTGAGCTATTTTACAGCTGGGGCTGCCAGGACTGGTTTTACTCAATTAAGAGATAGAAATACCTGGCCTAGCACTTTTCTAGTGTTTAGAAAAGTTTGGGTATGTCAAATGAGTTAGACCTGTTACAAATGCCCAGCCTACTGCTTATGGTTTAGGATTGTCGGTGCAGTGAGAATAACTGCAGCCAAGGATCATTTGGGAAGGCACTGACACAACTTGCTAGAAAGTGTAGGACAAAATATGCACTTCCCATCTGCACCTACCTGAGACAGCTGTCTAGGGTAAGAAAGGTAGGAATGCAACAATGAGAGTAACAGCTTTGGCCATGGACTGCTGCCAGCTCCAAATCCACTTAAAGCTATTGCAAAGGTCGGGTGGAACAAGCATTAAACTGACAGCTCAGCCAGAGGCCCCAGGATGTCTTGTCACAGCTTTGATTAGAATTGACACGGACTAGCAAGTCCTTTAATTTGACCCAGCTCATAATTGAGAAGATATGTTTTGATCAAATGATGAATTTTAGTTTCAGGAGGTCACAACAGATCTTCTTTACTTGGGCTGGGTAAAGCTTTGCCCTGGAAGAAACTGCTTTGGAATTAATAGGCTCTTTTAAGATGAGGGGGTTCTCAAAAAGCATCTCTTTGGACCAGTGGCCCTTCCTGGGTGTAATGTAAGCCCAGAAAATCGACAGTATCCAATTGGTTTCCCTAGTACTTCCTTTTGCCTGCCATTTCCTTACCAGTGTCCTGGGCTGGGATGTCAGCAGGTACATCTTGTACGTTCCTTTCTGCTGTGACATGGACATTTTGCAGGCTCAGATCTATGTCATTTTACTTTAGGCAATAGGTGCCAAATAGCTGCACTCAGTAGACCATGTGCCAGATCCACTTCTTTTTTTAATCTCCCTTTTCCCTTTTGTTCAGCATTTGCCAGTTTTCCTTCCGGTTTAATGGTTTTATTAGGCAGCAGTGTCAGGAGGTGCTTAAGAGCATGTTAGATAAACAAAGCAAGCAAAACACAAGCCTCGCTGAAAATTCCCCTTTGTATTGGCAGTACAAGCAGTGGAGATCTGGATGGGTGGTAATGCCAATCCCTGATTCATCCTTAACATGCTGATTTTAGTGCTTGGCAACAGAAGAAAGTAAATTGCTGTTTATAAAGGTCATAGGTGATAGCAAGGTAGCACTGTGATAATCTTTTTATGAGTGATAATCTTTTAATGAGTGATATTAACATAATGGGCATTGATACCTAATAAGTACCCTGGCATTTGTCATCTGGCAGTGCTCTGCTCCTCTTTTGTGGGTTCTTCTGTGTGTTTGATTTCCCTCCTGGTGCTGCTTGAACAAGTAAAGCCCAAAGGGTTTGTGAGCCAGGTGAGATGTTGTGTAGGGTGTCCTACTTCTCAGGGACCACAAGAGGTTGAGGTAATACTTCATGCAGACCACACTCAGGGAGAGAACACCCCAAGGATGATCCTCCAAAACCTCCTCCCAATGTGTTACCCTTCACAAAAGGAGACCAAATGCATTGCAACACTTGATGCTGTCTTGACATAAAAAGCATTTAGATTCTGAAAGATTGGGGTGCTGTTGCACGCTGTTAATTTGCACTGCTTGGTAAAAAACTGAGAAAAAGACATAGTGGATAACGGAAAAGAGTCCTAGGAAAGGATATTAAGAAATTAATGGCAAAAAAAGTGGATCTCAAGAGAGCTTAACAGGATTATAAGAATGAGAAAAAATTGTCCTTTAGCATTTTTGAATGATTGTTGCCCTACTGGTCTGTGCAGTTTAGCCTGTCTCTAAGGTGTTACCCAGGGTGTTCCTACTGGTGTTTGAAGGAATTGTTATGGGTCAAGTGCTGTACCTGATACTGTTGACTCAGGTGTTGTCACAATGTCTGAAGGAAAGCTGGTTTCCCCGAATTCTGAAGGAGGTGAGAAAAAGAGCAAATGGGATCCCTGGTCATATTGTGCAGTTCCAGGAAGCTCTGTGGTCTGGGAATTGTCTGCTCCTTTTCTGGATGAGGGTCATAGTTTCCTACCTCTCTAGACTTTCTGCCAAGCGACTCAAACTGAAATGCAGTGAGTGTGTTTCATCACTTGTGACTGCAGCTTGCTGCTCCCTCTACATGTGCTTGTGGGTTTATGAGAAGAGCCAGGTTAAAGTTCTTTCTCATCCTTAAATAAAAGCTATTTGTTAACCCTGGCAAAATTAACAAACTGTTTTGAAAGTGATGCCTTTCAAGTAGTTGTGCCACCACCATTGAGAAAGCAGAAATAGGATTCATAAGTGCAGAAATCATCACACTGATGGGAGTTCTAGGAGAAGAGGCTTTATGTAGTAATTATGGTCTCCAGGCCAGTTTATTGTAGAGATAAATACCCTAATGGAAGTGACCTGAGATGCAGAAGCCTGGAATCTAGGGAAAGCAGTTGATACCACTGGAAGAGGGAGTTCTTCAGGAGCTGTGATTCTTTGTAGAGTTAAACCCAGAGATCTAGTTGTGTTCTGCATACTCACTTACGCCCCATTGACATCCCTGCTCCCGTGTAATCGTTTTCTTTAGCTGAGTCTTGCACTATGGATAATTGCAAACACTCCTTTGTGGCTTTTATTTGATCCACATCCTCTGTGATACATTTTTTCCCTCAAGTGTGATAAAACTGATAAGAGGTTCCAGGTAAAATTAGTTTCAGGATCATTAGGTGGTGCTTCTCCCATTGGAGCATTCACTGTCAGAAGAATAAAGGGAAGAGTTAAGAAAAGTAATTGTTGTTTCATCAGATTATGTTTTAATTCAGCCACACTAATGCACTGTAATATCCAGCCAAGCCTTATAATTTGAGATAGTTGAAACAAGCTTTTAGCTATTCATGTGCTCCTGCTCTAAGTTAATTTCACATATAAACCATTAAGCAAAAAAAAACTCCAGCCAAACCTAAATCAAAACAACTAATCAATAAGAAACAGGTCCTTCTTTATTAAAAACATCTTGAAAATTAGGTTGTTTACAGAGACGTGGGTGCACGTATTCTGTTTCAAAAGCTTGGGACTGATTTTGTCTCATTTTGCAGGATGTGTGCAGGGGGTGAGAAGTCCAAGACACTGATACCTCTTGCAGAAGCACCTTTTTAGAGTATTTACAAATCATTAGATCAGTTTTCTGGACTACGTCTGTTCCAGTCTATTCCATATACACCCAGCACAGAGGAGCAGGACTTCACTTGGGGGTCTGTAATAAGGGACAGTGCTTCCTGTCTTTAGGAAGAATGACAACAGGAAGGAAAACGGAGCTTTGAATGTGGTTCTTTGAATTCTTCCTTGCCTCTGAGCAGCACGTTTAAATGTTCAGATGGCAGCGGAAGAGAAGGGAGAGGGTGAGTCAAGGCTCTGCCTATTTTGTAGCCATCTCTAGTTGTGAATAAATGGGAGTGACATGCCAGAGATCTGCATTTCTTATTTCCTTGCTGTTCTCTAGGATGATTCACACCACAGGAGCTACCAAAAAAATATTAACTTTTTAAAACCAAAACCAGTACAAAACCCTGTGGCACATGTCTACTGCTGGCTAGTCGTGGCTTATAAGTGAGAGTCTCTGCAATCCCTCATGCAGGGAAGCATTTAAACTTCTTTGTTAATGAGCTCTTTCTAGGATAATAAGTATGTGAATGAGCAAGTTACTGTGGCATAAGTAACCTGCTGACTGCTATCTCTGATCTCTCACATTGGTTTTATGTATTAAAGGAAAATCAGCATAACATCTACATAGTCGTGGTGGTGATTAATTTCCAATGATTAGCTTCTATTCTGAGGTACACCAATTAGGTCTTTTTGGAACATGTACAGGGGTGTTAACCTAAGTGTCCAAGGGATTTCATGTGCTAATTTTCTGGTTTTGTACCTTGTGCTGCTTCTTTTACGTAATTCTTAAACAGAATTTCAAAATATGTTACTTCTTGTATAACAGCACTGTGTATATGTTTGTGTGCACTTTATGAATATTTTGCCAGCTACTTAGAGGTTAGTTGCTTTTAACCATAATATCATTAAATAACCCTACAGAGAAAATATTAAGGCTTGTCCTTGTTTACTGGTGCAGAACATTTTTAGATCAGTCTGACTTCATTATTTTGATTCACTTCATTTTTTGTCTCCGTGTTCCTTCAGGCTTCCGACTTGATTATCACCCCAGCTACAACCTTCAAGGAAAAACCAGACCCCACTGGTTTGGTATTTGGAACCGTGTTCACTGATAATATGCTGACAATTGAATGGTCCTTGGCTTCAGGATGGGAGAAACCCTATATTAAGCCACTAGAGAACCTCTCATTACATCCAGCCTCCTCAGCCCTGCATTACGCTATAGAAGTGAGTAGTAAATTGATTTGGAAACCACCATTTTGTTTTATTAGCTCTTGAAGCCACTGCTTCGTAATACAAGGACTATTACTGTCTTAAGTTCATTAGTATTGAGTTACATCTTGTTTTGCTAGCTGGTGTTCCACAATAATTGCATTATTTACAACAGGGTTATGTGTAACACAGAAGCAATTGTGGCCAGGGGATTCCAGCACACTTAAAGCCCTAGCCTGGGGAAGGTGAGCTCTTTCTTGTGTGGTGATAAATTTATTGAAAAACCATTCTTGTTCACTGTGAGACAATGTGTTGGTCCAGTTACTGTCTCTGATATGGCAGTACAGGACTGTGTGAAACCATGAGATTCTCAGAGTAGCTTTAATTTGGGAACTGAATACGGACTTTGTAAAAGTTGCATGAAGCTGGTTTAAAGGTTGGTAGCTTGGATTGCAGGACAGATTAGACAGGTGCTTGTTTGAAGCTCTGAACAAGTCCCTCGAGCTCAGAGCTAGATCTGATGCACTCAGTGTATACAAGTGTGTTTAAGGAGAGAACATACAGTGAGGAATTTTGGGAAGTGGAATGTTAAGTCGGAAACCAGCGTGGTTAAAGTTTCCGTGCTTAGCTGATTACTGCCTAAAGCTGCCTTTTGTGCCTTCAGAGCAGCTTTGGCTGTACTCACACCTGTGTGGGAACCCCAGCAGGGCACAGACCCTGAAATAGAAGCCCACTTCTCCCACTTCTGGGTTGGTGGGAGTGTCTCCACTGAAGTGTGGGGAGTTGCTTATGCTGCTTCTATTATTTCTTATATTTTTCCTTTTTTTCCTTTTTAAATTTTCTTTTGTATTTTAACCACTGGTATAAGGGAAGCTTTCCCTGCTAGTTGTCCCTGAGCTCCTGCCTCCACCATTTTTATTTTGGCTGATTTTTTTCTCATCTGATCACCAAGACTCCAGAGGTCCTGTGTGAATTACAACAGGCCCCTGTGACTAAGGCTGCAGCTCTTGATCTGCCCAAGAAGTAAGAAACCACGCTGGAGTCCCAAATCTGTATTTCATTCTTAGTAGCATATTGCTTTAATGCTCGGCCTCTGGCCTGGTCTGAAATCATTGCTAATATGAATATGCTCTTTTTTATTTCCATTTTTTTTTTATTCTTTTACCCTTATTGCATCACGTTTCCTCTAGCCAAGAGGACAGACAGAGGAGAATCTGGTGTCATTGCTGTGGCTCAATGAATACACAGTGGGTATAATAAAAGTGATGGATTTGGCATTCCCTCCCCTTTCTCCTTGCCCTTCATGATGCAGTGTGGTAATCTGGATCTGCAGAACTCCAGATCCAGCTCCCGTGATGTACAGATGTCCGATAATACTGTTTTCACACCGCTGTAGCAACCAACCATCAAGCAACCACAGCAGTTGCTTTCATTAAAGCTGAACATTTCTGGAACACATCACTGTCTCCCTTTTTAATGAGTGAAAGGTTTTACTGAGCTCTGGAAGATAAAAAGTATTTCTTTTTGGAGAAAAAGATTTAACACCTTGAGAAGGCTTTGTGTTTCAGTAATGATGATTCTTACTTCTGTCAAACCATTGATCAGATCTTAGTAGTGACATTCCTCCCTTTTCCCTCTCATTAAAAGTTCTGTGAATGTGTTTGGGAGAAGGGTGGTGGGGGAAAAAATGTGTTCTATGATAAAAAAGTAACATTCCAACAATGTGCTCTCAGTTAGTAACTGGCCCAGTAAAAATCATAGCAAAGTATCAGCCAAATGACCAGTTACATCCTTAATTAAAGAGGTTTTTTTTTTTCTTGTGGCTACAATGTGTACCCTAGGACCAGCTTCTCTTTGAAAATTGTGCCAAGCTTTTACTATGGTTGGCATTGCCAGAGGACTAAGATAAGTTTTGATGGCAAAAAGTTCTGGGTTCTAATTCTGGTTCTGCTACATAATTGGCACACAGCCTGAGGAATATTGTTGGGATTCTGCAAACCAGTTATAACCCAATTAAAATTTGTCATGTGGACTACACATAAGCTTTCTAAAGATTCTATTTAACTGATCCTTATTGAAAAATATAATAGAATTTGATAACAGTGAAACCTGAAATACTCTGTTAAAAGTACTTGTGCACAAATACAGGATTATCTTTTCCAAATAAAAAAGCTGCAAATGTAGACTTCCAACCATAAAGGGTGCAGTTCCAACCACTTTTTGTGGAACAGTCAGAGGAGAAGCCTGAGACTGGCAGCAGTGATGCAGTTAAATTCATAGAACTTACACTGAAATTTAATATACAAAAAAAATGCTTTAGAAGATAAAATTCTAAGAATCTATTGTCTATAAGCGACCATTTAATGCTTAATCTAAAGAAGACTTGTGTATATGTATATATTAGTGTGAGCTTATAAAACTAATGTGTTTTCTAGTTTAACCAGTAATTACCAATCTGTAACTGAAAATAACTGGATATTTGGTGGGTGTGTTTTTTGATGTGGTTAGGAGATGCTGCAGGGCATTTTTCTGGGAGGGCATTGATAGGATAAGGGTTTCTGATTGTCAACACCAGTTGTCTGGATCCTGCAGTTTGATGGTATAACTATGTTTAAATTTCCTGTAAAGTATATAGAGAAAATATTTTCTTTCATTTTATCTCTAGTGTGAGGCTGCATCTCTCTCATGCAGGCAAAATCCCATTCCACAGCATAGGGGTGTAAGGGGGAAATAAGTGACCAGTTCCTGCTAGAACTACAGCAAGAACTTCACAAGAATTTTCTCAATGACCTTATTCTATTCTTCCTAACAAAGATGTGTTTTGGACAGAGCTCTAAAATTAATTAACATATATATATATATATATATATATATATATAAAATAAAATTCTATAGATCCTTTTTATAAGTGAAAATGCTGTTTTGACTCAGGTATTAGTCAGGATGTGAGGGAATCGTAAAGTCAAACACATGCTACAAATTTTAATTGCTGTTACCAAATTAAGAAAAAAAACAACAACAAACAGAATAGGTTATAATGAGGAATTATGAAGTTTATATTACAAAGATGACCTGCTTATACTTCAGATAAGTCTGTCTCACTGGAATGTATTGCCAGAACCAGGAAGGTGAAGTTTTTACTTCCAAAATTTGCACAGATCATCACAGGCTAACATGTCAAAATTACTGTTTGTTTTCTTTTCCCTCCTTTTCTGGCTTGGTAGTTGTTTGAAGGGATGAAGGCTTACCGAGGAGTGGATGGCAAAATCCGCCTGTTCCGGCCAACCCTGAACATGGACAGGATGGCACGATCAGCACGGAGAACAACTCTGCCAGTACGTACCCAGGCATCTCATGCTCCTGAAGTCAGAGCATGTTTTCATTGTCAGAGTGCAAATCTCTAAGCTCTTCAGTAGCAGCATTTATCAAACACTCTTAAGGCTTTGATAGCTCAGTAAAACTTTGTTAACAGATCGTATTCATTGAAGGAAACTGTTTGAAGTGCTTAATTTAAAATCAGAACAGTGAGTGTTTTGCTTTCATTGTTGTCTCCCTGCTGTCTCAGATGTACAGAGTGTTTTTGAGGGATGGGTGCTGTTCTGCAGGTATTTGCATGCAGACAGCTGTCTGATTTGCCCTGGTGCTAATGTTCCCTCTTTCCTTCTTTGCACTTCATTTAAGTTGTTCAACCTCTTGAGTGCCTTTGGTTTGGTCATGCCAGTAATTTAACACTGCTTTTAGCAAGTGGTATCTTGGCCAGTGAACCTCCTCCAAGGCTTATTAGCTTAATTGCTGTAAGAACTTGGGAATTTCGGGAGGCTTGTCGGCCCCTCGGAGTTACAAACCAGATCCCTCTCCTGTAGAAGAAGTGATGCTGTAGTTTGCAGCATGCCCGGCTGAGTTTGCACAGGGAGTTCTCCACATGCTTTGGAGGGAGGAAGGGTCAATGGCTCGGTTTTACCATCTCAGGAGGATACTTTGGAGCAAAGGAGATCTTTTGGGAGACTGCACAAAAAGGCACAGTAGCTAAGACCATGGGATATTAAAGTCTGTAAGGAATGAACTCAAGGAAGATGTGAACCTCTACACTGTGTCAACTGTTGCATATCCTGAGGAAGTGTTCCCTGTAGTACATGGATTTGTAAAGACCACAGTGTTCCAGCTTTATTTCTCAATTTTCTTTTTTCCCTTTCTTTTTCTTCCCAGTCTTTTGACCAGAACGAGCTGTTAGAGTGCATCCGTAAGCTTGTGGAAGTGGAACAGGAATGGGTTCCCTACTCAACCTCTGCCAGCCTGTATATCCGTCCTACCCTAATTGGAACTGAGGTGTGCAATATTTATTTGTTTTTTCTCTCTCTTAACTGTTGTTTATTTAGGTACGAGGCAGGGTTCTCCATCCATGAAGGGAAATACGCAGCAGTCAGCAGGTGACGGGATTAAGTTTGGGGGCAGATTGGTTTTGTAGTTCTACTTTGGAGTCCCTGTAGCAGCACGGATTTAAGGTTGACCACACTGCCACTTAGTGGCCACGCTGGATCTGAGCACGGAAAGTAAACGGAGGAGCTGCTAGAAGTGGGAATTGAACAGTACTTTTTAACTGGGGCTGCGCTTGAAACTGACCTTCTAAGAGGCTCCTTAGAAAATAGGTATTAATGTGTCCTCTCTGAGTTTCATGTGTGAGTCAATTCTATAGTATTGATAAAGGGAATTAGAAACAGAGTTTATTTTATTAAATCCTTCAGTTCTTTTTTTCAGCAATAGCAAGAAAGAAAGGTATAATGGTAGAGCATAGAACAAGGAAGCTAAAGAATGTAAGTTCCAAACTAGGTCAGCTAAACTTCTGCAATATCCCTATCTGTAAGTAGTTACCATACTTTTACATTCTGTAAGTAGTTACCATACTTTTACATTTTATGTTTTACATTTTGCATAGGTTCTAGGACTCCATTAATTTAATACTTTTAAAGTAGTTGCAGATTTTCTGATTAAAGAATCTCCACTCAGTGACTATAAGGTACTGATATTAAAATTGGGGTATTTACCCCTGTTTTGTTTTTTGGAAATTCTTTTGCTCTGAGCTTATTTCAGGGTAGCCAACACTTGTGGCCTTTCCACTGTCACATGTTGTTTCCAGGTTGCATGTCCTACTAGGCTTTTATAAATCACCCCAATTAGAAACCCAGGCAGCACAATCTTTTGAGTGATCATGTCAGCAAAAATATCGAGATCTCAGTAAATCCTTTTAGAAGTCTTTCTGAAGCAGTAAGGTAGACAGAAATCGAAGGAACCCTTTCAGCCCCTGGAGAACTTTGGCCAACACCAGACTTCTCACCTCCACCTTCAAGTGTTGATGGTGATGACTTGGAGTGTGAGAAGCCATCTCTCAGAGAGGAGCTGGAGAAAAATCTGTTGCATTCTTGGTTATTTCCTGTGCTGTTGTGTTAACTGTTTTTAGCAGGCAAATAATTTTAGCTGTCACACAGGCATGCAGAGAGCCTGCACTCAGCTCTAGCATTGCCAGTTCTAAGTGGTACTGGACAGTTCTTCTCACTAATGCAGCTAACAGTGGTTTCTCCACTGTTGTTACTGCTAAGAGTAGTCTTGCCACTTCTTCTTTCCCCCAGATGGCTTTGTGGGCTTCTGGTATGATTAAGGAAATAATTATATAGCACTTTGGTAAGCTAATCTTTGAATTCTCAAAAAATTGAAACTATTTGAAAGTTCTAGAATAACATATTGGTAAATATGTTTATCAATTGTTGGTGTGAGACACTGGTGGTTTGGTTCTTTTTCCCAGGACCAAGACTGATGAGAGAGAGACCTGTTTTTGTGTTTGGGCTTAGGATGTTTATTTTTCTTTGTCTATATTACATATTTACAGAGTACAAGGAGCTATGTACAGTAGGCTAACAAAGTGCAAAATGGCTGAAGGAGTATCTCTTCAGGGTCTTTTAAGTGTGAACCCATCCAATAATGAAATGCCAAATAACTGATTTCCATTACTAACCCAATAACCCGACATCTATGGCCTGCAATGTGGATTCTTTCATCCAATCCCCTAATATTACCCAAAAAACCCTAGAAGAAGAAGCAGAAAGGGACAACACCCTAAATTCTCCATGTTGTCTCTTATTCACTAATATAGCTTAAACCCTATACTCTGATTTTCTCACCCAGTGACTTAATATAATTCTATCTAACTTACATTCTCAGTTTCTCTACTCAGTTCTAGAAGCTTTCTCTATGGTTTTGAATTAAACTTTTAATTTAATTTAAACTATGAATTAAATAGTTTCAAGTATTGAAACTATTTGAATGGCTGTAAGTGAGTGGTGACAGTATATGAAATTAGGGCTGCTATGTTGCTTGGACTGGGGGAAAGTTGTAGAAATACTTTTTATTCATTGTAGCACTTTGCACTGTCCTGGTAAAAGCACTGTCATGCTGCAGTTGCACTGAAAGCAGTGTTTCAGTAGCCGATGGTGCAACACCTGATGTTTGAAGGATACCAGTAACTTTTGATTTGTTTGCATTCTTTATTTTCAGCCTTCCCTTGGGGTGAAGAAGCCGACTAAAGCCCTACTGTATGTCATACTGAGCCCTGTGGGCCCTTACTTTGCAAGTGGAAGCTTTAATCCAATATCCTTGTGGGCAGATCCAAAATACGTAAGAGCATGGAAAGGGGGAACAGGAGACTGCAAAGTGGGAGGGTAAGAAAGCATTATCCTGCATTTTCTACACAGCTCACAAAGCAGATCTGGTTTCTAGTGAAGTATCTAATGCAGCAGAAATAGACACATTACATGCAGTAGTTAAACAAGCAATATACTACAACTAAGAGTTCAAAATCGTACTTTGCAAATATTACTTATGCAACTCACTTGCATATTTTTGTTTGAATATTGCAGCCAGTTGATTTTTTTGCAGCATCTCAAGCTGAGGAACTTGGAAGTTGTCCATGTTATACTTTGGCTCTTGCCCTTGCAGCAGCTGACACTGAAGTGACCACTTTGTGCTGCATCATCAGTATAGCAGCCTGCTGCCAACAGAGCAGGGAGCAGCTCTGGCTGCTGACCTCCTTCCCTGGATTGTCCTATCCAGGAGTTTCTTTGCTAGGCAGGAAGTCAGTAGCTCTGAAGTGCTGCTCAGCTGAGCTGGTAGAATAATCAGAGGGCAGAAAAGTAACTTTCCTTCATTCAAGGATGTTGAATGATGTTCTGAATGATGTTCTGAACCTTTGATGTTTCTTTATGAAATTTTGCTTATTTCTAAAAATATATTATTTCCTGCACATCCTTCATACATCAGCTGTGAAAAAGAGTAGTTTGGAGTTGTCATTGACTTGATTTGTGCCCAGAGGTGAGAACTTCAGTTTAGAGCTGCTGATTTTGCGTTTTGAAGGTTATTGAACATCAGAAGCAAAAAGGGGTATTTTTCCCCCTCAAAGTAGCAGAAAAAAAAGCCCCAAAAACGAGAATAACACCAAGAAACCCCAAAAGCTGGAGGGGAATTGTTGCTCTCTCTCCAGGATGCCAACTGCTAAATAAAGATAAATGCTTTCTGAGGGTTTTTAGTTAGAATAGTTAGAATGCAATAGTTAGAATGTCCAGAATATGGAACAAGAGGTATGTTTAAAACAGTATGGATGGATTTGTTTGAGTTGTTGGTGGTGTTCAGCCCTTCAAAGTTTTCAGGTTGTAGGTACAAATGATCTAGTAAAATGCTATGGTGGTGTTCAGCCCTTCAAAGTTTTCAGGTTGTAGGTACAAATGATCTAGTAAAATGCTAGTGGAGTACTTCCAATGAAAACATCCCGGAGACAAGCAGTGACTGTTGCAGAGTGCTTGCTCATGAGATGGATGCACAAAATCTTGTTTAAATTGAGAAGATGCCCAACCAGCTACTCATAAGTCTTTATTTTTTATTTTTCCTGAAGAAATTATGGTTCTGCTATTTATGCCCAACAAGAAGCCCTGGAGTTTGGCTGCCAGCAGGTTTTGTGGCTCTATGGAGAAGATCACCAAATAACTGAAGTTGGAACAATGAATCTGTTTCTCTACTGGATAAATGAAGATGGAGGTATGGTAACATAAAGCAAGAAAACTTTTAACAGAGTAGACAATTGGGACCGTAATCCACAAAATGATTATTAGAATGCAGATCATCATCTTTTTAATGAAGATGGTTCAACAAAGGAAATGCTTATTCTCTTCTGAAAATTACCAGGTAACTGTAGCTGTGGGAGAGGAGATTCTGGAGCAGCTGTGAGTGCTGCCTGCTGATAACAGACTAAACTGCTGGGCTAGTCCCCATGCTCAGAAGGGCAGATTTCAGCCATGCACAAGGTCACACATCAGTTTTGGTATCAGCAGGATGTTTGGTCTCTAAGGAGGTGTTGGCTCACAAGCAGTGCAGATGTGCTAAAAGGCAGCTTATGGCTGTGCAACTCTTCAGACTCTGTAGCTTTGAGTATGAGTGGCTCCCATCATCACTTGCTGGCAAGTCAAATATTCCTCAGTCATATCCAAGAGTATTTCAGCATTGAATCCAAAACTGTTTCCTTTGAATAATTTGAAGTTCTGTCCAGTGGTAGCAGGGAGAGAAAACATGTCAGTCAGTGTTGGAATCACTAATACACAAAAGATGCTTTCAAGATGTATCATCATCTTTCTTCTGACAGTCGTCTCTGAGCGAGGTACATGCTGATTAAAAACTGTCCAGTTAATGAGCAGCCAACTATTTAGGCATCCCAGACCATTGGGTATGCAAATATTCAGTGCTTGAGATGTGCTAGCTCTGGTGGCTGCACCTGATAACTGGTTTGGAAGGCTACAGGCAAGGGAATAAAAGGATACCTCATGACTTCCATGAATGCTGTCTCTCCAAGAAAATGAAGTGTTACTGAATTTTTACATGGCAGCTGATGCAGGGGTCAGACTGATTTCATTGTAGTGCCATGGGTACCCTTGAAAATTGTCAGCTTTCTGACAGTGCTCAGCTGCAAAAAAAAGGCAACATTTTGTGGGGATAGCAGTGTGCCTTGGATAATGCAGTGAGATCAGGATCCAGCTACCTGACTCCCATCTCCAGTTCCATTTCTCCTTCCAAAAAATCTTTACCACATTTTTGAGAAGAGAGATAGTGCTCCCTTAGTGTTGAATGAGTCTGTGAAGCTTTATGAATGAAGTGATAAATAGTAGACATTTTCTTATTGTTACAGCAGCAGTTGATTTGTCAGTGTAGATAGATGGCCAAATTTATGCCTTGTGGAACTTAGCTGGAAAAACATGAAAATAGATTTTGGCTCATTCCACCCAGGGAAAGACACTGAAGCAGGGACATAATTAGAATTCAATGTTCTCATTGTACTTAAACCAGGAATATACTGGAATTATGCAGCTGCAGCACGGTACTGTTCCAAAGATCTGCCAATCACTGTGTTTCCAGTGCACTGCTGAATGGTGCTATTGTGAGGTGGCCGTAGCAAACAACTTGTAATTCCTGCCACCCAAGCAGGCTGTTTGCTGGCAAACCTGTCATTTCACAGACACGGGCATTATCCTCCTGGGGCACTTTGGTGTCTCCCAGGGTGTTGAGTAACTCTTAATTTGGGGGATCTTTGGCTGAGAATCACTCATGCTGCCAACGGGTGTCATCACATACCTGCCTGTGGCTTTGCACGGGGATTTAGAACCTGCTTGTCATTGTGTTCTGTCACTTCACAAAGGACACTCACTTAGGCTGTGGTTTGGTTTTGTTATGCAAATGGTGCAGCTGAGCGGGATCAAAAAAAGTGAGACAGAAATTGCAGCTCATCATCAAAAGAAAATGCCCTTCTTTGTGTGTTCTGAGGTCACTGTTGAGAGCTGAACTGCTGTCCTTGGTTTATAACCAGAGGCTTATCCCAGTAAAGCCTGGACTGGAGGACAGCCATGCTTCCAATGGGAGTAGGCTTTCCTTGCAGCCTTTGCTGTATATCTGCAGTTACAGCATTGTGCCTAAAGGTGACATGTTGTCCCAGATGGCAGGAGCAGCCTGAAAAAATAGTTTGTTTGTAACATCAAGGAAGGGAGTAGGGGGAAAAACTGCTCAGGTTTTGGTAGAATAGTGTGACTTGTTCTGTGCTGTTCTTGTATTCCCACTGCTGCTCTGAGGCTTATAAGATGGCAAAAACTGGATCCCTGCTGTTGCATAAATACTTCATTCATCAAATCCTATTTATAGTTTATGTTCACTGAGTGAAAAATACAGTCCTTTCCACATGCCTTTTGAGAGCATGTAACTATCCCAAGAAGCTCTTGACATTGAAACTCACTTCCTGTCACAATGTCTGTTCTTCTGCCTAGAATATAGGCTTGGCTTTATGGAAAACCTTAAAATTTAAACATATGTCCAACCTAAGGATTGCTAACTATGAAATGTGCAGTTTTGAAAAATTCTGTTTCTTCAAAATGATCTGCAACCGTTTGGGGTCTGCTTCTATCTTTAAGGCATTGTAAATAGTATTCAGGCATTATTTAGTATTTTGTGCTGCAATTGGAATGGTGATTAGTAGTACCCACTTCAAAATTTTATAAATTAAAAAGTAAATCTGTTAAAAGATTGTCTGGAACCATCAGGTAAAACTTTAGGCAAGTTTGCTAAATATTCTATCGTTGGAACATTAGTTGTGCAGCAGAAGTGTCATGTACAATTACAGTGCTATCAAAATCAGTATTGTAGCTTCTGTTCTAGTAGAGAGCCCCAGCAACAGACTGGAGGGGAGAGCAGCAAATGAATGAGGTGGCAGACAAAGCAAAGGATGAAAAAGTAATTGATGAAAGCAAATTAACAGACCGATGCAAAGGTAGTGATTGCATGAGGGAAGAGTTGAAGAAAAGCCTGAGGGAAGTAAGGAGAAAGACCCAGAACAAGCTGGTAGAAGAGGTTATCTGTTAGTATTAATGAAAACAGGGTTTTCTGAGTTCTCCTTGATCCTGAAGTTCACTTGGAATTTATCACTTTGGTAAAATATGTATTAAGATGAATTTCTTGGCATTGCTACAGCATGACTAGTACTGAAGGTATCCCATGAGTGTAATCTCACCTGCTCTATGCTCATAAATACAGATACTTAAAAGCTGAAGTTGTGTAATACGGAAGATAACTTTTTAAAAACCCCTGTAAACACTCTGATGGAATTCTGCTAGAGCAAGCTTATACCAGGTTTAACAGGTGTTAAACTGGGCAAGCAGTACTATTACAATATAACTGTAATAGGAGTCAGCTGAAGAGAAACCTGACATTTCCCTTCAAATGCTTTTCTCCCGCTTTTTGCGACTACACATTTTAAGCCCATCAAAATAATTCAGAAGACAAATGGAATCTGTGAGCTCACAGTCTGTTTTCTGGGAGATGGACAAACTGATATCATATGGAGCCTGGTTTGGCATCACTTCACAGAGAGGATGAGCTTTTGGCATACCATGTTGGATAGTGTTATCATCTCTGCCGGATACCAGGGGAGCAGATGTTCCCTGGGTGGCCCCAGGCTGGTAGGCATCATATGTATACTTGACAAAATTCTGCAGAGCAGCCTGTTTAGAACATTTTGAGACTTTCATGTCCTGTCTGCTCGGTGCTGTTTGGCGGCTGGTTTGGCCTGGCACCTTTTCAAACTAGCTCAAATCAATTAATATATGTTACTGAGCTTAAACGGGTCCTGAACAAGATCTGTGGCAACATCACCAGACAGAGAAATGTAATCACAATCTTTGGTATCAAAGTCCACGGTATTTGAAGTTTTCTGTTCAAGAAAGGAGTGTGTTAGACTGTGATTGGGTCACAAATGCAGAATATCAGGTTTTCAGTGTTTAGAATCAGCCCTGTGGCTCATGGAAAGTTTTAAAGTCTTCTCCTTGTGATAGTTGTGCCAGAATTAGGATCAGACATGCATCACAAGTAGGAATGATGCTAGACAGACTCCAAAAAGGGAATGCTGTTATTCCTGACTGTATGAGAAAGAAGAGATGGCTGACATAACTAGAAGTCTGGGATAGGCTGGGGAATGGCACTATGGGCTAGTCAAACCAGAGCAGAACATACAGCCTGCTCTAGGGCTGCATTTCATACATTTTGTTATGGCAGTTTACACCTATTACTGATGTAATAGAATGTACAGCTCCTCATAAAAGGAACATGGAAGCACTGGTAGGAGAGTCCAAATAAATAAATCGAGGGGTGGCTGCATTAGAAAGTAACAGGTGTTTTCTGAGAGAATGGACAGTGAATAGCAGATTCAGTGAATTTATCCTTCACTTCCCCTATCCCATCGCAGCTCCCTGTCTTGCAGAGTGGGGGAGCCCAGGATATGCTCAGTCCTGAGCTGGCAGGCAGTGTTTGTGCACAGAAATACCTTACTTTCAGAAATATCTGAAAACAGCATTGAGCAGCTGAGCTCAACCTGCTCCCACAGACCAAGGACAAATACCATATTTCTTTCTTCTACCCAGCTGCAAGTATTCACAGGATCTATAAAAATATTTTAAAGAGAGGTTCTCCTTTGAGAAAAGTTCAGTCAGGCCTGGATTCAGTGATCTTTTTGCAGAGAAAGGGGACATAAGTTACGTATCTTCATGTTTTTATTGTTTTTTTATGTGACCTAGGTAAAAAATAAACAAAACTCTTAATGGTTTGTGGATTTATTGGGCAGGGTAAGGTAAAAAAAGAAAAAGGACTATAAGTAGAGAAATAAAATGGTTAGGAAAAAATATGAAGAGAACTACTGAAAGACTCTGGATGTCTTGCCTTCTCAGTGCAAATTTGAGACTGTCTTAAAAGCCTTTGTCTGAAAAGAGTAAAAGGTCAGTCTTCTCTGATAATAGAAACCAGTGAGTACACTATGTGATGGCTTAAAATGAAAAAGATTAACTCTGCTGCAGAGATCAGATGGAAGAACAAAGTCTACATACAAACTTGTGTTTTAAGTATTTACCAAGCATGAATTGTTTAACCGAGACTTTGTTTACCATTTATCTACCATTTCATTAGTTCTGTTAGATGAACATTTATCTACTGTTCTTTTTCAAAAGCAAACAAGAAACACTAGCTAACAAACCAAACTACTTGAACAAATTAAATTATTGTTGTTGTTGGATTTTTCTTACAATTTCTCTAATTGTGTAAAGAGAAAATTTGCATAGAAAAAGGTTGTCTAGACTACAACAAAGGAGCATTAAGGAAGTCCCCTTCCAAGGAGGGTTGGCAAGATTTCCACTGCTTTTTTGGTTCATTAAATGAACTTCAAAATTTTTGGTCAGTGTTTCATATTGCTGCTGTGAAATGGATATTCTAAATCCCATATTCCTGAATTAAGTAAAACATTTTGGGGAAAGTTGTGATCTGCCCTGGGATTATTAGGCATGATTTTCCTCTGCCTTTCTATTGTGAATCTGGAGACAGAACCATTTCATAGTTTGCAGTAGTAACACAGTGCAGTTACACAGTTATACGTACAATGCCCTGAGGAATAAAACCACCTACAAGTCAGTGGGCATGTATATATTCATCTATTAAATATATTTCTTTCCCCACCCACTGAAGTGTACACAAAAGGTTCCAAACACTCAACAACAGTTTACTTGAACTGAGTATCTGTTTATATTCTTGGAGAACCCTGATAAATGTTGCATCTCATGGCATAGGGATTTTTTTTGATGCCACAGAATCATAGAATATCCTGAGTTGTAAGGGATCCACATGTTTGGTGTAATATCAGTAAACTTTTGTTTGTTTCTTTCTTTATTTGTTTTTCAACAAATGCTTCTCTTTTGTTTGGCAGAAAATGAACTGGCAACACCACCTTTAGATGGCATCATCCTTCCAGGAGTGACAAGGCAAAGCATTTTGGATCTGGCACGAAACTGGGTGAGTGTTTTGGCAGTAATGGTTTCAATTATCATATTTTAACTTCAGCAAAAGTAAACATTTCTGGTGCTCAGTATCTTAAAGTTCAACTGGTTTGGTTAAATCATACAATCATAGACCAGTCTGGCTTCCTAGAATCATACAACAGCCTGAGTTGGAAGGAACCTTAAAGACCATCTCATTCCTATCCCCCTGCTATGGGCAGGGACACCTTCCACTGTCCCAGCCTGCTCAGAGCCCCATCCAACCCGGCATTGGAAAGGACCTTTACAGGCTGTCTATTCCAGCCTCCCTGCAATGAATAGAGACATCTTCAACTAGATCAAATTGCTCAGAGTTGTGTCAGAAACTCTGCTTTCAGGGGCCCTCTGGATGGTACCTCTTCCCTTCAGCGTGTCAGGCTCACCACACAGCTTGGTGTCGCTGACAAAACTTGCTGAATGTGCACTCAGTCCCTCTTACCTAATGGGAACTAAGGGCATGCTAAGTCAGGGATTCTCAGGAGCATCCTCAGAACACCCACACCTGTCACACAGAACAATACCAAGCTTGTTAAAGTAGCTCCGTGTAGTATTTAACATGAAAATTCTCATTAAATCCACTGGTACCAGCAACTTAGAGCAAGGAAACAAAGAATTAACCATGCATGACCATAGCTATACTTCAGTCATCAGCTCATTATTTCTGCATTTAGTTCTCATGCTTCCAACCTTGTTTCTGCTAACTAGCATGCAGCCTGCTCAGCCACAGTCTTAAGGTCATCTGTCTCTTTCCCATTCCTGTCTTGTAGTGTAGCAACCCAAGAACTTATTTGGACACTTGGGACTAGATCATATCTTGAAATGCAGCAAACTCTGCCTTACTGTATTCAAAGGTTTTATTGCAGCCTGGGTAAGGATGCTACACAGCCAAAGGCTCATAAAGCCCAGCATCCGGTCTCGTGGATTTGGTTGGCATTATGCTTAGAGTGGGATAACAGGAATACCACATACATGAAATAAAAATTTCAAAGTCTGATGTTTATTTTTTTCTTGAAACACATCCCTTCAGTTGATTCCTATGCATTCTTCAACTCTTGTAGAAGGTAAAACACCTCCAGTATTAAAACTCTGCAGTGCAAATAGCTTTACTCATACCTGCAGTACAGGTAATTTTTGTGTGTGACAGCTGTGTGCAGGCTATGGTAGAAAATTTCAGTAGGGCTAAAAAAATACATCACATAAATTGGTCTGGCAGGTTAAATTAATCAACAGAATGTATCTTGCTTAGGAATTGTCTGAGAGTGAGATGCAAAGGCTCTCTTGATATGACTGAGTAATTGTTGCACAAACTCTAACATGCTAGGAGACCATGAGTAGAGAGATCCAGTGTCCCATAACAATTCTTCTTTGTTATTCCCTAATGTGATACTGATATTCTGCACCAAAACAGAGGGAAGTGCCACTTAATCATCAGCATTGTATCTGGCAAATCACTGGCCTCTTTCTAGGGCTTTTTTTTTGATGAAAATCTATCTTGTGTGATACTGGGATATTTGAAAAGATCACAAGATCAGAGTAAAAATTTGACTTATTGTCACTAGGCTAAATGTTCTGTTGGAAATGTTTCAATGTAGAAAATGAAAATACTAATGTTTTTAAACTTTTTAGAATTTTTATGGTTGCATCTTCTTGTGCAGGGAGAATTCAAAGTGTCTGAGCGATACATCACCATGAGTGACCTGACAGCTGCCTTGGAAGAGGACAGAGTAAAGGAGATGTTTGGTGCTGGAACAGCTTGTGTTGTATGTCCCATCTCTAAAATTTTATATAAGGGCAAGGTAACAAATGTCTCTTGTTTTTTTACCCCTTTCCTTTTTTCTTCTGAATTTTATCACAGTTAATTGTAACTGAAGCTGAAATCAAGGGAGTTAGAAAAGGTGCACTGCCTGGAAAGATGAACAGTGTCAGTGTGTTGTTTCCCAAGTGAGTTACTGGTTGTCAGGAAGGAACTTTCCTCTTGTCTTCTGGGGTTTTTCCTAAGAGCTGAAAATATAAAATCTCAAGTTCTGGGAAAGCAAGGAAACAAGCAATTCACCACCTGTTTGCAAATGTAGAAAATACAATCTTCTGCATTTCTTTTATTCAGTATTTTTGCTAAGGTACCTGGAAGGGGTGAGGAGAGAAAAGACTTTCACAGGGAACCAAATTTCTGAGCCACTGCTGTCCTTCCTTCTCAAATTCCTCTCTTCTTAGCCCCTCATTGCAGGGATCCCAGCTCTGATGGAAGAGCTGTTTCAAGCCAGTGCACAGCTGCTTTCACCTCCTATTCACCATATGGGAGATTTCTCCTGCACAGGTGGAATTCCCCAGGCATTCAGACTGTTAAGCTCACTTGATGCTATTTAGTCAGTACCAAGTTAGTTCAGAGGACTAGGGGTAGTGCAGGTGCATAAAGGGTTGTGCTTTGTCCATAAAACATGATCAGTACAATAAATGTCTGTTAGGTGATACTTCCTGAATGAATAAAATAGAATAAATGTATTGATTAACTGATGCTGAGACATTGAAGTGCTGAGTGGTAAGTACTGTAAATATAGGTGTTGTATTTCTACACAATATACCTGGAAATGAAATGCTGTATAATAATGTTACTACTCTTGCCTGGACAATATTCCCTCCATTTTGGACAGATCTCTTGGAAGGCTTAGATTAGCCTTTACTGAACAGCAGCATAACTGTTTAACTTTTCACTGGCCCTCCTGTTTGAAAACACCAACCAACCAACCAAAAACCCAACAAAAACTCCAAAATCAACTACCCCTTCCTACTCATAAGGAGGGCTAGCCAGCGTGATAAATATTTATTAATATTTTTGGCAACCATAAAGTATTCATATAAATGTAAAACTATTATTACATGTTAATCTCTTTCTCTCCCCTTCTCCCTCTCCTTTATTCCATGCCAGCACTTGCACATTCCAACTATGGAGAATGGGCCTGAGTTAACAACCCGTTTCCTGAATAAGCTAAGTGATATCCAGGTAAGGTGTTTTCTCTTTTATAACCACATAAAATAATAAAAGGTGAACATTTGGAAGGAGTGGAAAATAATCTTTTTGGTACTGATGCTTTGGATGGCATTATATAATAATACAGATCCTTTGTCTAATGTGGTTATTCTGTCAATTTTCTTTCCTTCAGAAAGTATGATAGGGATGAAGTATAGTATAATTTTTCCCTACTCACCTTGGAAGCTGAGTAAGAGTTGCAAGATATTACTACTGCTATTAGTGAAATCTAATACTGCTGTTACAGGTTGGTTTTTAAGAGAAAAAGACAGGATTATGAAGCATCTTAACCACAATCACAAATGAATACAGGTTAATCAATGAAGAGATGAATGAGGCAGTTAAACACTCAGTGGGCACAGCCAGCCGATCACCATTTCCATTTCTCATTATCTTTCCAATCACACGGTCATTTCTCATTGTTAAAACAGTTCCCTCCTCTGTCATTTGCTAAATATCAAAGTCTGTTTGGAATCTGTGCTTTGTCTCCATGTTTGGGCATAGGAACCAATAGCATTTCAGGTAAAGTCACTGAGTAGCAGGTGATCACCCTTCTTATTCAAGTTGCCTGGGTTTTTTTCCTTATTTAGTGTAGTTTATGGTGTGGGGGATTTGGGGATGGGAGAAGGTCTTGGCAACTTACAAAGCCCCCGTTTTTAAGATCAGTTAGCAGTTGCCTGGCAGTATTGCCAGAATTTCTTCAAATTGAGTCTGATGGTTTCCGTTCTACATTTTTGGCTCAAAGTGGTCTTAGATTTGCCATTAAAATTTTCGTGTTCCTGCCAGTAATCCTGTGATCTGTGTCTTTTTCCACTGAGGAAGTGAGCAGCGTAAGACAAATTTATCCAGCCTTTTCCCTTAGGTGTCCTTCCACGCCCTCCCTGATAACAGAAGGTCAGAATGGGTCAGGCTGGAAGGGCCCACTGTGGTCCTTTGGTCCCACCTTCCAGCTCAGGCAGAGTCATCCCAGAGCATATGGTACAGGATTGTGTCCAGACAGTTTTGGAATATCTCTGGTGAGGGAGACTGTACACCCTTTCAGGACTGTTCCAGTGCTCAGTCACTGCCCAGTAAAGAAGTTCTTCCTCGTGTTCAGGTGGAACTTCCTGGGCATCAGTTCCTGCCCATTGCCTCTTGCCTTATCACCCTGGTTTTCCACCACCAACCAAGGCTCAGGAGGAGGCTGAAAAAGTCTGGATTGTTGCTAAGCATTATCTTTCTTGGATCTTTTCACTTTACTTGCCTGTTGATGTGACCTGTGTTCATTAGTCACATGCCAGGAGTAAATTTGTTACTCCTGGAAAATGCTTGACTATTAAATATATGCTTAATTCTGGGTTATCTTCCTTATTTAAAAAAAACAAAACAAACAGGAGAGTTAGAACAAATAGTCTGCAACACAAAAAATGGACTATATAATAATCTTCAAATGTCAGAGGAGACTCTTTGACCAAGATCTTCTATATTCTCTACCAGGAGAAAAAAATAACAGATTGTTTTGCATTATCACTGGATTATTGTCCTGTTATTTGGACAATCTGAGGCTGTAATTGCAAAGAATCTTCCTGTTTTGAAGATTAAAATGCAATAGAAATAGCAGTCAAACACAGTTTTGGTCTCTGTGCTGTTCTGTTTCCTGAACTGGGGCAGTGTATCCATTTCACGTTTAACAGTGGGAATTTGTAAAAGAGTAGAAATTCTCAGCACAACCATGTCCTGCTTGTGAACCTGTGACCAAAAGGTGCAGGTTCTGTATCTATTGGCATTGTACTCTAGTTCCCTTGTGTGCAGTACATGCTTCTTTTATTATTTTCATTTTCTCTTCATTATTGTGCTCCCAAGTCTGTTTTCATGCTGCCTATTGTTCTTCTGCAAGTCTGCTGTTTTCAGTGGGATGTCTTTAGATGTGAACAGCTGTTCAGTGGAACCAGAGCTGGAGTGACAAATTAGAAACTCATGGGCAGAACTGATTCAATTTCTCATGCCAGTTGAGAGAGACAGTGGTGGCACTGCAATACACATTTCCCTTCCTGTCACTGAGTAGGTATCATGATTACTAAAGGATGATAAAGACTTCAAATTAAAGAACATTATATAAATTAATGGTGTGCTTAGGAATGAATTAGTAATAGTACACTCTTCCACAGCTGCTTGAGTTAGAAGATTTAGGGATGAGATTCTTTTCTCTGGAAATACACTCACTGAAATCCCACTCAGATGTTTCTGTGGATTTGCATCCCTGCTTTTAGCTATGCCCTTTAAGACATATTTCTGTGGGCAGTGCAAAAACAACCAGGAAAGGTTCACATATATGTGTTAATTTTTACAAAGTACAGCCTGGATGTGGTGGACAGTGGAAGAGGGATCCACTAGCCTGGGGTCACAAAGCCCTTGACAGAATTTAAAAAGGAAGCTAAATCTGCTTTTATTTGCAGAAAGAGATGATCTTCATTGTGGTATTGCATCTTCATTACCCTTTTAGTTCTGGAAGCAGGTGCAAACGCTACTCAAGTGGCAACTCAGACCAGTCCTTGAAACAATTCCTGTATCAGAGCAGTACTATTAGGCAATGCTCTTGCCTAAAGATAGCAAAATTTACAAATAACTGCAACTGCAGAACAGGAGCAGTAGAATTAATAATGAAAAGAAAAAGTAGGTGTGGTACTTGTGAAGGTCAGTTAGAGGCCTTGCCTGCTGGAGAAAAGAGGAAAACACAAACCCACTAAACACCATTCCTTTGTGGATTAGAAGTATGTTTCTTCTGGTTCATCCTGATTTGGAGCTGTTGTGTTTTCCCTGCTTTAGTGACCTGTTATCTCTTCCCCTGCTGATGCAGAACCTGTATTGGAAGAACTTCCTTTTTTCCACTCAGGAGAAATTAAGGGATCTTTTTAGCCTACATAAAGCCTCTAAAACCAGTCTTCATTTCTTGGTTGAAAGTGCTTTCAAGCTCCCTGAATATAACACTATAAGGGAAAGGGCTCCCAACTCCCATCTGATGCTGTCTCTCCACCTCTGACTTATTTACCTACTTGAGCCCTGTGTGTGTTTTGGGGTCTCTCTGGAGCATTGTTTACAGGACTTGTGACAGAGCTTTAGGACATGGAACCATTCTAGCAGTCAGAAGTGCTGCCCTGGGGCTGTATCCTCCCCTGGAAGGGGATACGGCTGCATGCCATAGGTTGCCTTCATTTCTGCTTGGTGATCCCATTTGTGTACGGAAAGACAACTTGTTTTATTCTGGATTACAGTTCTCCCTAATTGTACTCTGTGGTATTTGTGATGGTTTTATTTCACATTCAATCAGAATGTTGTAATAAAAAGCCACCTTGACAATAAAAAGAAATAAAATGAAATGTGTTTGTTTATTGGAGCTTGAGCAGGGGCATAGTTATGAGTGAATTAGTGAGCAGGCCTCGGGGAGTAACTGCATTAAACTGATGGAACTGAAGCAGAACTGTTCTGTGTCATCTGTAATGAGTATCAGCATTGCCCCTTCCTAAACCTGCTATTGTAGTAAGAGTAAAGCAAGCTATCTTTAGTCTGTGCCCAAATCAAAGGCAAGTAAAGGCATAAGAAATAATGTAAACTACTATCAGAGCAGTGGATATGAACATTTCTGTGGGTAGAGCTAAGAAATTATCATAAACGTACACAGATCCTTCTAACTTTTATTCTTCACTTTTTGCTTTGTTTCAGTATGGAAGAGAAGACAGCGATTGGGCAGTGCTGGTGTCATGAAGGTGGCAGAGTTCAGACCCTCCAGACAGACCTGACATCTGAATAATGACAACTTCTGTAGCTGCCAGTGTGTAGCATAGTCTCAGTATCAATTTGCTCCCCAGGATGATTGTTTCCACAATCCAGCAAACGTGAACACAATCATTTTGATTTCTACTGTAATCCTGTTGGTAGAAGCCTGTTTTCTTGCTAGAGGTGCTAAATGTTAGCAATAGAACTTTCCTCATGGTTTTCTTAGTGCCTCTTTATATACAGTCTGGAAACTTGTAAAATGCTCTTCAACTGCTCTTCAGTTTGGTTTGTTTACTGCCACCATCAGCAGAACATGTGTCAATGAGGATGCTGCCTGTTAGCTGCCTGCAGGGTTCTGTTGACATTATTCTGCCTTTTGCCCTGTTTGGGAGAGAGGTTTAGCCATACACTCCGTCCTTTCATGCTCTGCTTATATGGGAGATTCCTGAGTTTGTAGATGCCCTCATCCTCTGTCCAGTAACTCTGGCCTTTAGCCCAAAATTCTCCGAGTCAGCCCAGTCTGCAAGATGGTCCCTGTTGGCTTATTGCCCTTCCCTCCATGGGGATTTGCTGTGGCTTTGGACAGTGTATACCTCTCAATAGTTGAGAACATCCTTCTAGACATAATTTAAAAGACAATGTCATGCCCTGCTGAGATAAAAATTCCCTTTTGGCCTAGCAGAGCTGGGCTCTGCAGACACAGCGTTGCCTTCCAGGTGAGTGTTTAGAAAATGAGATTAGGCAACTTTGGCTGTGAAAACGGAACCATTCTTCACAGCAACCAGACCTTTGGATTGAGGAATTTCCTTCATCATCTACTTACATAATTTAGGTCAGAAAACTGTTTTCCTCATTCCTTTCACATACTTGCTGTATCCAGCCTCCATTGACACATGTACTGTAGAAGGGCCTTCTGTTGAGGAACAAGCAGCGTTGTCAACAGAAAATGTCTAGAAGGAAAGAGGTTTCACTCAAACCCTGATTTCATTCTGGTTAAGCAGATAATTCATACAACACTGCTTTCTCACATGCAGTCTTAATACTTTGGAAGCAATAGAGAGCATGTAGCCCATAGCTGGAGAAGTAACTCCTGCAAATGTTCACTCATTCAGCGATCATTCTGTAATATTTATTAGCTTTCTCCTTCTGCACACAGCTTTGTTGAACAGCTTTAAGATACCTCTTGCCAAAAAGAATAACCATATTCTGTATCAATGTTCCAAAGTGCTACTTCAGTATAGAACTGGTGGAACTTTATTGACACTTTATTGGAGTCCTATAAGAAGTAAAAGTGAAACATTTCTTGTTCTAGTTTGCAATAGAGATGCACCAGTATTAAGGGAAACATTTAGCACTTTAATTTTTTTTAAGACCAACAGTATCTCTCCCGTGCTTAACAAGTCCTTTGTATTTACTGACATTTGTTAACATAGTTTAAAAAGGCAAAATATATTTTCTAGTGGACTATCCATGCCTTATGCAGCTTTTAAAGAGCAGCCTTATGGCTTCCTGTTAATTTTTGGTCACATTTTGAAGACCCCTCCTTAGCCATCACTTTCTTCTGCTCCCTCAGAACATAACTTTATCCTGTCTTTGACTGCAGTCCAATCTAATTTTTTAATGAAGAACAGTTGAAGGTTCTCTCTGACAACGTAACTATTATTGAAACTTGATGGATAATTTTCTTTAGTCTACAACTGCAAGCACAAAATGTTGTTTCACTTACAGTAGTTATAGTGTTGTGACCATTTGAATCTGTATTGTGTGCTGGTCTTTGTTTCAGTATCTTACTATGTGTTATAAGCTGCTGGTAGTCTTTCCTCTTATTTAATTAGATGGCTGGAAAAATGAAAATGGGGAATATGTCAAGATGCAACATGAGGTAGAGAATTTTGTCCAACAAGACCAGTATTGAAATTAAAGAGTGCCTTTAACCAGAGTGTGGCATGGAGCTCTCTAAAGATTATGTAATGAGCAACCATTTGTGGCTTACTGGTATTGAACTATCTAATTTTTCCCTTAAGTTCATCTTTGATTTAGCAGAAAATGGAAAAGTGAAACTATCTAACTTCAGATGCATGGTAAAGTGATTGTGCAATACCTTAACATCTCAGCTTTGATAGAGTTGATATATGATACCATATATTGAAAATCCCCATGAAGGCCTCAGTATACCAGCAGCAACCTATTCACTAGGCAGAATGAATAAGGACCAGTTAGAAGAACTATTTTATTGAAATGTAAACATGAAAGTTGTGTAAAAGTTTTCTTAAATGGGTTGCAAGTCATTAAACAGGAAGAAACCAGGTGTTCTCATTTGTTGTGTTTTGCACTGTTTTCTACACTGACCAGAGAGACACCTCTCTTTCTCCTGCTGATGGAGACTTCAAAATGAGGAGAATTGATAGTGGAATGACCCACAGAAATAAGGAGTCTTTTCTCACAGGGAAGAATGAAAATGTGGAGTGTGTGTTTGTTAATTGTTGTCTTTAACATCTTGGTTAATTGCCTTACACTGTCTGTGTCACTCAAAGCTGTGCTTGTTTCCAAGTGGAATCCGGGGGAATAGGTTTTGGATTTTAAACCTTGAAACCTAAAGAAGAGAGCTGGCAGGTCAGTATAGTACAGGAAATTCTTCTGATGTTTCATGCTGTCCTACTCTGAATTCTGGCAGTGCATTTTATCCCATTAACCAAAGGAAAGAAATAACATGTGTAAATAACAATCAGTATTTGATATTGCATTCTCCTTTTTTTCGTTTGTAAAATTTAGGAGGGAACTGTGGTATTCCCTGAGCTAGTAACAGATTGTAAAAGAACATCTGCACATCTTTTCTCCATGTGCCCTATTTGTTTAATTGCAACAGATTTACATAGAAAGAGTATGGTACATCATAACTAGGCAATTATCCATTCTTCATCACTTAGTTATGGTTCTGGTAATTGATCATTTAAAACATAAGATAGTCTAACATTAGGAAAATCTGAAACTGTTCAAAAAAGATAAACAAATTAATATTGTTGTATGATTTGCATAATTGGCTGCAATTATTTATTTAATGTTTAATTGGGTTGATAAAATGAGATTCAGCCTTTCACATGCTTATGTTTTACAAACAGTAGTACTTTAAAATGATAATAACGAAATCTAATTTTCATATGTTCTTTCTTCTCCATTCTTTCGATTATTATTTTCAGTACTGAGCATGCCCTTAATTTTCAGTTTGGTTAGAATGATTCATGACTAAGAAAGAAGTCCTTCAAATAACAGAATTTTCATGAAACTGACATTTCATACAAGCTGTTCTGGTGCCAAGAATTATGGCTTCAGCAACTGGCATTACTTAACCAGATTGCTAACTGCAGTGAGGGCAAATTCACTGAGCATTGACAGGCACAGACACAGGTGAGGATACTAATATAGGTTCCTAGGGCAGATAATCTGTTCAATCCATAGCAGTGTAAAGCCAACATGGTTTTTCTGGGGTACAGAAGGGAAGACTGATAAGATAAAAGTAAGGTAAGTGAGCTCTCTCTGCCCAGCCATTGTTTACACCTGTTCAACTATCTCAAGCCAAAAAGCAGTTATCAGCCACTCCTCCTCTTTGTACATAATCTCTTTTTTGGGTTTGCATGATTCAACACAGAGATAGCATAGATCTTTTCCTGTATACTGATTTTTATTATTTATCGTTAGGTGTGAAGAATAGTAATATAGAAAAATGTGATACTTGAAAGTCATTTGGAGTACAAGTTATCTGAAATGTCTGTGTTCCAAGAGGTAGACTGAAAACCAGCTGGAACTGATCTCAGAGCTGCTTAATTAGAGGAGGAACCTTCTTGAATTCAATGGTCTCTCCAAAACAGTCTGCATAATCCCAGCAGATTTCTGCATGTGAACTGTCTGTTCCCTGTGCCTTGCTATGGAATATAATCCGGAGATATTCGGAGTTGGTGGCGCAGCCTGGCAGACTGTGATACATTGTCTTTCTCTGCATGGGATCCACCCCGCTGAGGATAAGTTTTAATGTTCTCTGGCAGGCTGATATCCTGAGAGGTGGCAGCTGTAAATGATGGCTGAGCAGGCCCTGGGATACTCATTGCCCTGCTCCTTGCTGTCTTTCTTTCCCCCTCTTTCCCCAGCCTTCTGTTGTCTCATATCTAAAAGTGACTAAGCAAATTTTCATTCTTCTTGCTTTTAGCAGTAGTGACAGTTAAAAATAAAAATAAATAAATAAAAAAGGGTAGTTTTTCCATTTTCCAGGTATTGAGGGATCACAATTGTGCTTTACCACCAGGATATGTAATCCCTGAACAGAATGCCACTGACTTTGTGACCCTGGACAAGTCATCTAAACTCTTTCTAAGTGCAGAGTAGTAGTACTACCACTTATATCACTTTAATCCAAACTTTTGCTTAAAAACTTATTACAGATCAAATTAAGCTTTCTAGGAAAAGCTTTTTAAGAAACGAGAAACATGCCATGTAAAGTCCAGTATTTCAAGGGTTACATTAGAATAGACAAACTTTATTATGCAGAGAAAAATGTTATTTAAATGAGAAATATATTCAAAGTTTGCTACATAAACCCATAAATGTGTAAGAAATGTAGTTCAGAATATCAAACTTAGCATACAGAATGATCCTGAGAAGAGAAATGCACCTCACAGTGGGCTATCCTATTAAAAAAGTGATGCTTGAAGGAATCATGACACTTCTCAATGTAAAGTCATTAGTATGGGACTACAATAGAGGTGCACTAGGTCACATAACACTGAGACAAACCTCTGTATCGATCTTGACCAAAAATTTGCTGAACTGCAATGCTTTACCAATTTGGAAGTGTGAAAGACCTGTGCTTTACTGTATTTTGTCTCTATCCTCAAGATTTGGAAAAATAATTCATAGATCCCAAATAATTTAAGCTCAAAAACTTAGTTATTTGTATTTTTAGCCATAAGAGTGAAAGAGAATACTGGCATTGCATTGGTGAGAAGCAGTCCTCCTGTCCATGCCTTGCTTTGAGCATGACTCTCATTAGAAAGAGTTCCAGGGTGTTTTCTCTGACTCTCCAAAATCTGAGTGCCATCTATGGTACACTTGGCAAATATATCCCCAGCTCCATAAACAAAACTATCACCTTGATCTGGAACAGTCAAGTACATTAAGACTTAGCAGATGAGGAGCAGTACTAAATTACAATAATAAATAGATTAGAAATAAGATAAGTCAATAGATTTGGAATAAAGTTTTAGAATCAGTAGCTCAGATAAACAGAATTCTCACTAATCACACTAGCAAGGTCAACCACACCCAAATATACTAAAAAAATTATGGTAATTATATTTGCCAATAGTTAACAGCATTGTTCTCTCTGAACATTAATTTATACTCTTTGCTTATATTAAAACTTAATTAATCATTTTTTAATGATTTTTTTACCACAATCCTGTGTTTTCATGCCATGCTTTAAAAAAAAAAGGTCTCTTAAATTTCATGTTTATGGGAAGATTTTAAGGAAGATTTAAATCCTGATTTAAAATATTTAAATACTTTCTGGGTAAAGTTGAGGTAGAAACAGGAAAGACAACTTTGGGGAAGTACTTGACTAGTATTCCAAATGGTTTACCAACAGTGGCCATTCTTGGTTTTTACCAAAGACGTATGCAGGGAATAGTTGACAAAATAAGGTTATTGCTTGTTTTAGTAAGCAAGAGTTGGGGAAGTTTCTGGGAGCTGGTTCTCTTAACACTAATTATTTATAGTTCCTGATTCTGTCAGGCTAAGAGGGGTTTCAGGGGGAGATGGAGGAGCTCAGAAGCTTATCTCAGACAGTAATGTCCTGCCAAAACAGATTTTCTGTCATTTTATGATCAAAGTGATCAAGGTATGAACATGGAATCTTTTAAACTTTGCACCTTTTTTTAAAAAAAATTGTTTTTCATTTTAGAATTCTGATACGGTGTTGCTGAACTATTGTCTTACACTATCATATTGCAGTAGCTGATAGGAAGAAAGCAAACATTGTTATTCTTTATGTAATCACCTTCTTTCTGTATGCCAAATCCCCTGTTCACTGGTCACCACTAGAACTGGGATCATTTTGGGTGAAATAACTGCACCCTACTTGTACAAAAACTAAGTACTTAATGCTGGCAGCACATGCCAGAGCAGTAAGTGAAAATCTGCTGTGTCCTGAACAGGCATGCCAGGAGCAAGAGTGAAAATACCCGTCAGGTCAGTGAGGGCAGGAGCAGCACATCATCACCATTCTTGTTAAGTCCAACTGAGAGACTGCCCAGGTGCACCAGAAGTCTAGCAGGATCAGAGGCTGATGTTGATATTTAAGAATACTCTTACTCAGTTGCTTAAATACCTACATCTGTGCCTACATTTTCAACTTGGGCTCCTGTATCTTAACTGAAACCTGCAACAAACTTCTGTGTGTTGTAAAACAGTGGAATATTTGGTCAAACAGGTAATGCTCCATACCACCTAACAGGTCAGTGATGTATTCTCTTAATTTGTATTAAGCCCAGTGGTTCACTAGAACTGCAAGCAGGAGACAAACACATCATTAACACTATTTCATAGTCAAGGATGTTCACAAAGAGTGGATCTATTGTCTTCATATCCCACGGAGATGGGTTGGACTCAACTTGGCCCCCAAGTGACAAAATATAGAAGTTTCTTTGCCATTATGGAGACAAGTAAGTTTTATCTGAAGCTATTTACAAACAGTTTCTGTTGGAAAGCCAGAAGTCCCAATCTACTTGATCCTTGAGGCATTTAGAAGGGTGCAGTAGTAGTTACTGAAATTGTAACATACAAGCACTGGGGGTCTCCTTTTTCTCAATTGTTGAAAGTTAACTGGGTATTTTACAAGAATCTGAAGCATATAAAAGCAGTAAAGGACAGATGTGTGAAAAAGTACTGGATAAACTAAAGGAAACTCTACCTCATTCTTCTCGAAAGGTTTTGTAGAAGCACAATTAAGTGCTCCTAATGGCATTGTTACATACCGACCACCTGGCATGAAAGAAGCACTATATTTGTATGTCTATAAATCCTGTAAGAACTGTATTTTGCTGGCAGTAGGAACAGTCTATACTGTTTGCAGTTTTCCTCATCAAATCTGTAATTATGCAATGTTTCTGTCTCCAATAAAGGAATTTAGTTGGCACCTGTTTGTGGCATGTTATGAAATCATCAGTGTTGAGTACAGCTAACTAAGTGTAATTATCCCATAGATGGGAGCTGCTATGAAATAAATTCTTGAAGGTTGGATTAAAAGAAAAAAAAAGTCCTCCTGAATGAAGTGTGGCATGTAAGAACAGCAAAGCCAGGATCAAGTGGCAGACATGTACCTACCCTGCCAAGACTGGAGGCTGAGCCAGTTATCTCACTTACAGTAAAATGCTGGACAAATTAAGCAGCAGAAGTACCTACCTGCTAACCATGTAGTCATGAAACAGTTTTTAATATGCCAGGACTGTGTAGCAGTGATTGAATACAGTTCCCATTCTAAGGGTTTGGGGGTGATGAAGTCAGAGGAGAGAATGCCAGAAAACAGCTTTATACTTGGAGCACTTACTTCACAGGGCATTCCTGAACAGTCATTACTCCAAAGTATGTCGACCAGTGGGAAGCCTTTTGAAGATGGAAAGTACTGAAAGTGAGTGTCATTAAAATCTTGACATTTGCCATGTGTGGTGGCAGTATTTACAAAAAACTTTATATATTCCCCCTTTCCAGCACAGGGAATACTACGATTAAAGGTAGTACTGATCCGTGCTGTGGTAAAGTAAACATCGGGGTATATTTTGCACCTGGTTTGGTTCTTGGTGACTTCAGAGAAAGCTGGCATGGATACAGGACACTTTAAAGAAGCTGTAGATAGGTAAGTACTAAGAGAATTTAATTACTGCTAGGAGAATGAACCTAACATGTTGGAATCTGACTTTTTTCCTGTGTCTTGGCCTCTCCCCCTCTCATCCTAAGGGAACCTTTCTTAACTGTAGCTCTGGCTTGAGCTCCAGCTTTCTAAAGTCACTTATTCTAAGTAGTAATAAGTTGAGGGCTGATCATACAAGGCTTCAGAGACTGACCCATGTCTTTTAGCAAAATTTTAAAAGACTTTTTGTTTTTCCTTCCATTTGAAACAGCTCAGTAGCTGGCAATAGCTCTGTCCAGTAAAGCACTTGCAGTGTCACCACCAGTACTGTGTTTTTGGGGCTGGAGAGTACCAATACTGAGGACTTTGATGCAGGATACAAACCCTTGTAAAGTTGATGTGACCAAAAAAATCCAAACCCACAGTTTTAAAATAATACAGTGAGAGGGCAAAACAGAAAGCAAATAACCTGCCCTGTGTTCATATAAAGAGGGCATGAGAACAAATTTGGGTATGCAGTATAGGCAGTCAGAATTATAAATGGCAGTTTTAAGAGCGTATCAACAGAAGTATTGAATTGAAGCTTTTCTTCTCCCTTTAATTTTGCTCAGTGTTTTCATTCCATGGCATCACAATATTGATTATTAACAGCTGCTGATGAATTATCCCATTGGCCAAAAAAATTTTCTGCACTGAAAATTACTTTCGTTGTTCTGGATGCTTCTCCAATGACAAACTTGTAAAAGAAGATAAAGAATGTGAAAGGTGTGTCTACTACTCTCTCTCCTAAGGGAATGATTTTTAATGCCTGATAAGAGAATGTCATACTTCACCTGCAAGTGATGCTATATTGTAGCTGTACAAATTAGGGATTTTAAATTCCGAGCATTCAAGCAAATTGTTCTTCTGAAATTATTTCAGAATAAGCTCTGTTTATTAACACTTTTTATTTTGCACGTGACATAGTTATTTCAGAAGATTCAACTTTGGTTCATTCAAGCTCTTAGTGGTATTCAGACAATTTTCCTTAACTCTGAAGGGTGGCATAGGTTAACCCTTTTTTTTAGAGTGATGTAAAGAAAACTCATACACAAAGAAAGGATCCTAAACCAAACTGAGTGTGAGATAAATAGATAACTACTTAACTCTAAAAGAGAAACACACAATGAAGTATTTCAAATGGGTGAGCTGTAACCACAGACTGTAAAGTACACCCACACTTTAAATTTTGACACTGCATAAGTAATGTAATATTTTAAGTTGTCTTCTTATTGGGTTAACAGTTACTTGTGTAAGTAAGGCACATGTGCATATTCACAGCATACAAGACATAGCCTTTCAAAGAAAAAGCTGATTAAGTCAATACCGATTTGCTGTGTGGGATATCTGAAGTGGCTTTCTGTAAATGCTCAGGAACAGACCAGCCATCCTCAGTACACAGCAAGTATTCAGGGAACTTCCAAGGTCTGCCCAAACAGCAGATACAGGCAAAGGCCTGGTCTAGATGGGGCCTGTGCAGGTGAAGCTGTGGCATGATCTAGAGTTGTGTGCTTTGCAGGATTGTTATGTGGGAGGGAGTTGATTTTATATCTGTCCTTTATAGATGTGCAAATTAAAAACGTGCTGGGAGGCTGCCACTACCAGAAACACCATCCCCTGTAAAACAGCCAGGGCAGTTCTGACACTCATTTTGACAAGGATGAAATTCATCTACTGTACCGACACCACAGTCTTAAAATAGACTGTGACTGTTGCATGTAGGTAAAGCCTTATAAAATAAGAGCCTTGTTGCCCTTGTAAAATCATGGCTCAGGCCTGCTACTTCAGCTAAGTACAGCTAACAGCCAGCCCAATAAGTTCCCATGAGAGAGGAATTCTCACCTGTGTCAAGACTTCTACCCATGTGAAACATCTTCTATCCAGGAGACAAGAATATAAACATTGTTAGGGAGGAAAGTTTTTTGACAGATATATACACTAGCAACAACTAACCAATGAAGTAAGTTGCAATAAGTTACTAACCAATTGGAATTAAGCACAATGCCTTCAGAGAACCATATAAATATGAGCTGTGAAGAGTCAAGGTTGGCTATTGTGCATGAAGAAATAGGTATCTTGTCCATCTCTACTGCAACATGTGACTTAGCTGCCTTTTAGGTGACATTAATAAATTTCATCACCAAGCAAAGCCAGTGGAAATACCAGTTTCATCAGAGACTACAACTGGTATTAGCTCAGGACCTAACTTGAGGTGACTTCTGTGCTCTGAGTGTGATGAAGAGAATGGCTCCACTCCTTTCCAGCTGCCCTATCCCCAACCTCCCCTCTGTGGCACTGCTGGCACTTGCAGGGTGACCAGATCCCTGCTTGGCCACAGGAAGGCAAAAGCACATGCCCAGATGCCGTACATAGGAAGAGAAGGGCTGCTCTCTCACCCACAGCAGTATTTGTAAGGATCTGAGGCCAGTTCACAAATGAGCCCCTATGAAACATCAGGATTCAGGTATATCCCAGGTGCTAGACACTTTTATTATGGCTCTTAAACTTTAATGCACCAGACCTTGCTTAAGTCATTGCTGAATTCTGGGTTAATTTTTTTTTTTTTTAACCTTCCTTTAGGTCATACCAACCTTGTGTCTGAGCGAAGTCTGTAGTATTTGCTCTACTGTGAAGTTCCAGGTTGGGTAAGAAAGGACCTTCTGAAGATTTTATACCTTTGTAATGAGGGCGTGTCTGAAAACTGACTAGAGCAGGGAGTGGAAAATACACCCATCTACTTAGGAAATATTAGTGCTTTAAAATTTGCGGGAAAAATGTCACAGATCAGCCTACTGTCCTAGGATTTCTTACCTGTAGGGATGGGGTTTTGACTATCCCATTGTTCTGGATCCTCCCAGCTAAGAATAACATTGCTTTTAAATGTTCATAAACTTCATATCATTCCCATCCTCTATTGCAGAATCTGTCGTTGTAGAGAACAGAAAATCCAAGAAGTTTGTCAGGTCTTGAAAGTGTACTCCCACAAATAACCAACTTGTAAACATAACTCATAGCACAAGTACCCTTTGCTACTCCCTCCTTTTGCAGGGAAAATATTTTTATGGCTCTTGAGGAAAAAACAGTAGAGTCTGATCTAAATTCAAGGTTAGAAATCCTCTCTAATCCCAGATGCCAATCCCTTTTCCATGGAGAGTTCTCCCTTCGAAGAAGTGGGTCAGTCACTCAGCAGTTGGGGACATATCCCACCTGTCCTCAGTTTGTTGTAATCAAAATGTTTACATTGCTGTCAGGTGGCAGCAATCGCCACACAGCTCCACTTGCAAAGTCATTATTTGGCTTGTGAAGCTGAGACAAGAGTTGGTTATCCAAGACATGTTGCCTTGCTAAACAGAAATGACATTTTGCTCTATTTTGGTGTCTTCATCATCGGTGCCTGTGTTAGGCTGGGAAGTGCTAATAGCTGCTGTCAGGTGTGTCGCTAATCCAAAGCTCTTCAGATTTCTCAATGGCTGTGCCAAGGACTTCTCAGAGTGCTCAGTTTGTAGCCTCTGAGTGAGTTAAGGTGGGTAGCAAAGAAAGTTGGTTTTGTGCATGTTTTCCTGAAGGACCAAAGAAACGCAGTTTTGGGAGTGTAGGCTTTGCTGTCATGGCACACTGGAAGGATTCTGATTAAGGAGCCTCTGCCTTTTGGTCCCATCACGTTCCTGAAATGAGGCTTCTTTTTAAAAAATAAACAAGTTGAAAACATAGTATTACCTAACTTGATTGCCCGTATTTTTGGTGTCGTGGAAGGAATCCAGTGAGACCCTAAATGCTGCACTTTTTCCCTCGTGCAGTGTGACTTCCTAAAGAGGCAAAGCACAATTTATATATTTATTTTTTACTTCAGGGAATCCAGACTGCAATCTGCCAGCCTGGGCAGAGGCTTATTTTACAATATGTGCATGAAAACCTTGTAACTGAGACTGGTATTATGCATATGGACTATAAACGATCAGCACATTTTTAGGTCAGATGGCTGCCGGTTTTTGAGAGGTAAATGTTGTTGAGTTCCTACCTTGCAATTTCTTACCAAAATCTAGTAGGTTGAATCTTAGAGCTTGATGGTATCTCTTAGCTCTCAGAGTCCCTTGGAAGTATTCCCTTATGCTGGTATATCCAAGTGGTACAAAGGAAGACTCCTTATTCCACATTTCCTTCACATTTCAACAGAAACAGAAAAAAATCAGTATGTGTTACCCATTTTTGCACATGTGTAATATTGACAAGTTTTTAGTACTAAGGTAACA